CTAGAGCAGTTTCTGTGCTATGGTTTGGTCTAAAGCCAGACTGATATAATTCATTAGTATTATTTTTTTGTAGGAAAGAAGACAACTGACGAACTACAATCTTTTCCATGATCTTTGAAATGAAAGGAAGATTTGAGATAGGTCTATAGTTTCCTAAAACACTAAGTTCAAGATTTGGTTTCTTTAGGACGGGTCTAATGGAACATATCCAAGCTTAAGAGATGAGTTTAGCACATTTATCAGGGTATTGCTAATCTGCAGTGCAATTTCCTTGAAGAATTTTGTAGGAATTGGGTCTACGAGGCTTGTAGAGGATTTACAGGAGGAAATTAAGCTCAGGAGTTCTGAGTGTTTTATAGGAATGAAAGATTCAAAAGTATCATTATTGATAGGCATAAGACTAGCAGGAGTCTGGCAGTCATAGGGCTAAGGACATGCACTGGATGGTCTGTCTAATCTTAGTTATTTTACCATTAAAGAATGTAATAAAGTCATTACTCTTAAGAGATTGTGGGACTTGCGAGTTTAAATACAATGGACTAATTGACAACGATCGAGAACAGCTGGTAAACACAGGGAATCCACATGGGGTTAATGAGGGGGCGTGGTAGACGAGAGGAGCGGATGATCAGGGCATGACAAATACTCCATATTTTAAGCACAAAACAGTACAAGTCCCAAACTTTTAACTTTTAAACAAGTAGAGGCATGCCCGAGCGAAACACTGTCAAAAGAGCAAATGCGAAACAAGCACAAATATTTTAACCCAAGTTTTTAAAAACGAGAAAAAGCCGTAATCAGTTTAACAGTTTTATTTCAATGTAAAATAGAAAAAGTATTTCACCAAACGTGAAGATCCATCGATAGCAGCTCTGGGTTCCGTTGATGTCACACAAACAGCGGGGTCAAGGTGGCCATTATTCCACAATGGAGCGAACCCGACATGCTGCCGGCCTGTTCAAAGGTTGCGCGTCAAATGATTGTCCGTGGGGGCATGGTTCGAATTACGGGGGGTACTGTACCCCCTGATCAAGACCTGGACCCCTCCAAAGAGACTGTAACATCCTGATGCCTCTGTTACACCAAGCACATCCTGCTAGGTGATGTCATCAGTATTGCGAGACTACGTTGTGGTTGTGATTCGTGTGAGAGTTAAGATGTCCAAGTAAACAATGGTTAAAGTTAGCTGGTCTCTCCTCTTCATTTATGCAAAGCGAATAATCTCCTGAAGGGTAAACATAACATGGTGTCAGAGTAACGATCTGAAGACCTACAAGCAGCGAAGACAATGGAGACGTATGGCATTCAGGCACTTCGAATGGATTGGACTTCGGCCAACTTACCCGATGCGTAGCGGCGGTTGAAGCAGCAAGCGGAGCTGATGTTTTCCAGCCCATTGCGGGAGAAACGCGAACCAGAGAAGTGCAGTTACCTCCTTTTATGAATCGGTGAAAAGGGACTGGACATATACAACACCTGGTCACTTTCCGAAGACATACTACGATAAGTATGCAGCTTATATTACCAAATCTAACCCGATATATGCCAGATATCGTTTCCATGAGAAAATGCAGGTTGACGGCAAAACGTTCGAACATTTTATAACTGAACTGAAGCTACTTGTCAAAAATTGCGGTTACCCCAACAGTGACGAAATGGTCAGGGACCACATTGTGTTCGCCACGAACTCCCCACGCGTCCGCGAAAAGCTGTTAAGCCAGGGAGCCAAACTGACATTAGACAAGGCGATAGATATCGCCCGTTCCCACGAGCTAGCACAAATACAATTAAAGGAGATGACCGGATCAAAAGACGCCCCCAAAATTGATGCTGTGAACGCAACAAAAAGACAAAATGCTCACATATACACAAAAACAAAAGACCATGTACTAATACACAGAGAATGTGACAGGTGTGCAGGCTCACACAGTCCAAGAGATGCATGTCCAGCAAGAGGCAAACAGTGTATTAAATGCAAAAAGTATAACCATTTTGCAAAAGCCTGCAAAACCAAGAATACCGCTCCAACAAAGTCTCAGAGGAGACCCGTGCAAGCTTTAGTGAAAAATAATGAAGAGGAGCAGTGCGAATTGTATATTGACAGTATTACAACTGTAAATGCAAACAAAAACAATGTACAGGCTTATCCAGACATTAAAGTTGGACCTAGCCAGCAAACAATCAGGTTCAAAATGGACTTGGGTGCGGAAATTAATGGCATACCAAATAACACCTTTAATGCATTATTCAAAAGAGTGCCCGTAGCACCATCCACACAATCTATTACAGCCTATGGAGGCAACGCATTGGAAGTCCGAGGCACCTGCATGCTAGAATGTAAGCATGACGACCGCTCAGTGCTACTAGAGTTCCACATTGTTAAGGTCAGAGCACCACCCATCTTAGGTTTAAGTGCTAGTTTAGACCTAAACCTCATTAAATTAGTAATGGGAGTAAGTAAAGAGCAAACAAAAATAGACAATAACTCTAAAACCATGCTAAAGGAATATGCAGATGTTTTTCAGGGCATTGGAGAATTTGTTGGAGAATGCACATTCCGGGTCAACCCACACCCAACGCCAGTGGTCTACCCTCCACGCAGAGTCCCCATCGCGCTACGAGCCCGGCTAAAAGAGGAGCTTGACAGAATGGAAGACAATAACATCATTGTCAAGGTAACTGAACCCACCGAATGGGTCAACGCCCTAGTAGTGGTCGAAAAACCCAACAGCCAAAAACTACGAGTGTGTATGGACCCCAGAGACCTCAACAAGGCTATCCAGCGGCCCCACTATCCACTCTCCACACTAGAAGAGGTCACCACAAAGCTCACGGGAGCCCGATACTTTAGCGTCCTAGACGCCAGGTCAGGTTACTGGGCTATTAAACTAAGCACAGAATTATCAATACTAACCACATTTAATACACCATTTGGCAGGTATAGGTTCCTCCGACTGCCCTTTGGGATTAATTCGGCACAGGATGAATTTCAGAGACGTGTGAATGAAACGTACAAAGGCCTCAAAGGTGTTGCTGCCATAGTCGATGACATCCTTGTATATGGCAGGGACAAAGAGGAACACGACATCAACCTTCAGCGCACGAGAGAGAGAGGGCTAAAACTAAACCCTGACAAATGCTGTGTCGGCATCCAAGAGGTCAGCTATTTCGGCCACAGGCTCTCAAGTGAAGGTATTAGTCCAGACCCACAAAAGGTAAAAGCCATACAAGAGATGCAGCCACCACAGTCCAAGCCTGAATTAGAAACCATACTCGGCATGGTCAATTACCTGGCCAGATTCACACCGCACCTTTCAGAGGTAAACGCACCACTCAGACAACTTCTAAAACAAGACTGTGAGTTCATGTGGGACACTGTTCACGACAGAGCGTTCAAGCAGATCAAAGAACTGATCACAAATCACCCAGTATTGACTTACTTTGACCCACAAATGGAACTCACATTGCAAGTAGATGCCTCAAAAAGTGGCCTAGGCGCAGTTCTACTTCAACACGATAAACCTGTTGCCTATGCATCCAAGTCACTGAACAGTACAGAACAGAATTATGCCCAAATAGAGAAGGAGTTGTACGCTGTGTTGTTCGGGTGCAAGCGGTTCCACGAGTACATGTACGGCAGAAAGGTCACTGTGGAATCCGACCACAAGCCTCTGGAGGCCATACTCAAGAAGCCTCTCACCTCAGCCCCCCCTCGTCTTCAGAGGATGATACTCCAACTCCAAAAATACGACATTAACATCCTCCACAAACCTGGGAAACAGATACCAGTGGCCGACACCCTGTCTCGTAAATCTATTGAATACCACGACGACAGCTTAAGTGAAGGTATGGACGCACAGGTACACACCCTGATAGCTAACATCCAGGTCAGTGACAACAAACTGAAGGAAATAATAGCAGTGACAGCACAGGATACTCAGCTTACGACACTGAACCAGGTCACAAAGACCGGCTGGCCTGACACATACAAACAATGCCCACCACTCATTCGAGAATATTGGAACCACTGATGCGACATTTCCGAAATTGACGGCATAATGTTCAAAGGAGAGAAAATCATAGTCTCCCAGAGCTTACGAAAGGACATGTTCGACCGCATCCATACGGGACATATGGGTGTGGAGATATGCAAGCACAGAGCACGAGACCTTTTATTCTGGCCGCGAATGGGACAGCAGATTGAAACAATGGTGGGACAATGCAGCATTTGTCAAGAATGGCGCAATAGGCGACACCTCCGTGAAACGAGCAAGAGCCCAAGTACACCAGAGAACCACCAACCTACACCACCTCACAGTGCTACCCCAGACCTGCAGACCGAACCAGCTCAACAGCCTTTTAGCCAGTCAGAACAAGAAAAATCTGGCTATACCACAAGATTTGGCCGTGCAGTTAAACCTAGACAAGTACTTGACCTATAATCACAAGACTGATTAGTTACACAGAAGCCTGAAGGAGCCAAGGGAAATGTTTCTCTACCCTTGTTATTATAGCAGATGTATCTGATTCATTCACTAAAAGACTTTCATCCCTACCAGGAGGCATTACAATTTAAGCCTAATTTGATGTTGATGAGTCATGCTTTAAATTTGTTCAACACTGAGTTATAAAGATGTGTTCCAGTAAAATGTACACATATAGATGTTACACCACATGTTTTTTTAGGAGGGAGATGTAACATCCTGATGTTATTAATGCCTCTGTTACACCAAGCACATCCTGCTAGGTGATGTCATCAGTATCGCGAGACTACGTTGTGGTTGTGATCCGTGTGAGAGTTAAGATGTCCGAGTAAACAATGGTTAAAGTTAGCTGGTCTCTCCTCTTCATTTATGCAAAGCGAATAATCTCCTGAAGAGTAAACATAACAGAGACAAAAATAGCAGTTTGGGGGGGGTCTTAACATTTTTCTCTTGTTGTAAAAAAAAAAAAAAAAAAAAGTTAACCTCACCTTGTAGGAAAATTTTATGTATAACGATTTCAGATACCCCTAATGTGGACCGTACTATTTTAACCACCTCGGCGCTAGAAGCAGCCAGTCGGTTGCGTCATTCATTCTCATTGAGTGACCTGTTCATTGTGTTCGTCTGTCATAGTACTGTTTGTCGTGCATTGGTAAATGTGAGTAGCCAGCAGAAGTCTAGCCTGTTGAAAATGTGTTATTTTACAACCTTCATTTATTCGTTTAAGTGTTTCATCTACTAATGCAAGCTGACATCTTTATAAGTTGAATTACTTACCATTGTCCTTCTGAGGCAGATGTTCTGTCGAGTTGAGCTACTTTGCCGAGGTAAGCTACCGTAGTGCTAATCGATAGCCCTAACCATAGATTACCTTGACAAAGTAGCCCAACTCGACAACACCGGTACAGTCAACGTTAGTTACGTTAACTAGCAAGTTAAGCTAAGTTCTCTATTTGAACCAGGCTTATTTGGTGAGGTAAAATCGATCATCGTCATTTTCCAAGGAGATGAACTCCCTATGTTTTCATTCTCATTTTATCACAAATAAATTGTGCCTTTCTGAAATTAATTCGCCACTTAGCCTGTGTGGTTTGTTATTAGGGTTATGTTAACTCATAAGAAGGTCTAACGTTATGCTCTGAAAAAACATTACTATAAGTGAAACCTATAGGGGCAACGTAAAAAAAACTAGCTAGCAAATAATAAGCCCTATTATATGAATTTTAGTGGTATTGATTCTGCATTCCACAATTTCATATTTATAGACATTTTTAGAAGCTTCATCTGACCAGCCCAGATACTGTTTTGTTAAATATAGATTAGATTTTATTCACAGACACACTGAGGAAAAGGAAAGATGGAGACATCAGACACTTCTTTGGTGGTAAAAGAAGTGTAAGTAGGAAATATTAGTGTTAATAAGAGCTACAGAACATTACATTAAAAGTATAGGTGCAGTTTTGCAAACAATGTGTATGAAGGAAAGTGGTCAGCAGAAGGCAGGAGAGGCACAGGAGCAGGCGGATGGTAGAATGAGGACAGTGCAGGACAGTGAGCAGGCAGCAGGAAGATGGCAGGATGAGGATAGCGCGCAGGCAGCAGGGAGATGGCAGGATGAGGACAGTGAGCAGGCAGATGGCAGGATTTGGACAGCGCGTTGGACTAAGAGGTGAGTTAGAAATTAGGCTGTACTTTAAGATCTACTGTATCATCAAGATATATTAGCCTAATAGGCAAATATTTATTTCTGAAGGCTGTTGGAGCTGGGGGGACAGAGAGGGCAGGAATAACACCAGATTGCTGGACCAGACCAGGCTGTTTGTAAATGTATAGGCTTATTACCAGGAATGGGAGTTATCAAAACCAAATTCTTTTGGATAGGGATAAGGATAATGAGATCTTCTGTATTGATTCTCATTTTGTCGCATGTCCAGACCGTGACTGTGTGTTGCATACATGTTAGTAAACACCCCTAGCGCATCTTGCACTCTTAACAGTGATCCTGATGTCGACTATTCGTATTGATGCGGTAGCGGACCATAATGGTCATAGAAGTGTTATGAAGGCAGTACCCCCCAATTATGGAGGGGTAATTCACACTCTGCGTGGGGGGCACCACTTGGTGCATGCACACTCACTCAGACATCCCATTTCAAAATGGCGGCACCGACGGGGCGCCTGTTATTTCAAATAAACCCTTTAACCATAACGTTTTTTAAGTAATGAAGCACTTTTCTGTCAATGTGAATAATACAGTAAAACGCCCTAAGCATTTCGACAACAAGAATCAAGGAATAATGTGGGTAATTCTTGTTAAAATGAGCGTACGGCATTAACCCAGAAGTGGGGTGGCTATTTGCATATGCGCCAGCATGCTGCACTGTTGTACTGAAAATAGCGCAGTCTACTAATGTTTTAAACTAGAAATAATTCTCTTTAACATGAATGTGCTGTTTTTAATACAATGTTTAATACAATGTATGTGAACAGCCTAGACAATAAGTTTTAGGGTTGAATTCATGTGTTTTAACATAAGGTGGCGTCGAAGAGCCAAGCGCTGTCTGGTCTATTTGCATATGTCCCAGCATGCCGCACTGTCATACTGAAAATAGTCACTGTCTACTAACATTTTAAACAAGAAATAATTCTCTTTAACATAAATGTACTGTTTTAATACACTGTTTGATATAATGTATGTGAATAGACTAGACAATAAGTTTTAGGGCTGTACTCGTGTTTTAACAAAATGTGGTGTCGATGATACTGTCGTACTGAAAATAGCCGCAGTCTACTAATGTTTTAAACTAGAAATAATTAACATGAATGTGCTGTTTTTAATACAATGTTTAATACAATGTATGTGAGCAGCCTAGATAATAAGTTTTTGGGCTGAATTCATGTGTCTTAACATAAGGTGGCGTCGATGATCCAAGCGCTGTCTGGCCTATTTACATATGTCCCAGCATGCACGAGAGACATTGTGTAAAAACTTTTGCTTCAAGATTCGATATAGAAGTTAACTGACAAAGTTTTGCAGATTTCATAAAACAAGACACCTCAAGAACTGCGTTCGATCCAGCGATGGGCCCCTCTGCCTAACCCAACATGGACGCCTCGCAAGTGAGACAGCGGAAGCAGTGCACTATGGGAAACCGATCCCCTGCATCTCGAATTGATCAGGAATTAATTTGATAAGTTTTTGAACAAACTGCTGGCATGGGCACAGTGCGAGCTGGCAAGACAGGGTAAGCATTGGATTCTCGCAACATGATTATGGCAGAGTGTACAGGCCTCGTCCCACTGTCTTGGTCGTTCAGTCGGTGGGTGCGTGGGTGATCGCCCGGACAAACACTTGTATTTAATTGCTGTAGAAGCTAGAGAACGGCATGTATCAACATACATCAAAAGCATTTGAAAAACTTTGGTAGAATTCTTATTTTAAAATAAGTATAAAATGTGTTATAAAGCATTTGACCAATGATAATTAATAAAGAATTCAAGCATATTATCCCACACGCGCGCGGACTTTAGCAATAGAAGTGTGTTTTTCTTATAGCCCAGGTCACCAACAGCAAAGAATTTAGGATATTGTTTTTTATTATTTAAAAGAAGGTTGACATTATTATTTAATTACATTTAATAGGAAATAGTAAGCTGCATTTAGAATTATTCGCTAGGCAGATGTACCATACTGATAAACCATATGGCACCAAAGGGGTCAATAGTGTTTAAAAGAATAAAATACATTACAGGTGTTTATTAACGAATCATTTAAATGCGGTAAGGGTAATAGCATTTATCAGCATGCTTCTAACGGTGCTCTGGGCGCATCAATCTTTTCTAGCTATAGTCGAAAGAGGGTCTGGCGGTTTTAAATGTTTAAAATGTTGTTTGTTAAGGTGTCATTTTGAGCAAATGTGCAATTTTATATCAGTAAAAACACAGCCAACATGTTTAGACATGTCAGGCGACAAATGGCCACAAGCCCTCTATTATGTCGTGAGCGATGTTTTCGGGGGGGGGCACGTGATGAAGCAACATGTCCGCCCGTAGCCATAGCATATACGGTACAGTACATGCCAGCAAAATGGGGGTCATTAGTCTTTAAAAG